AAAAAAAAAAAAAAAAAAAAAGCAAAATTCAACATCTATTCATGATAAAACTCTCAGAACACTAGGAACAGAAAGGCAATTACTCAACCCGACAAAAACCTACGGTTAACATGATATTTATTGGTGAAAGACTAAATGCTTTCACTCTGAGAACAATAACCAAAGATGTCGATTCTCATCACTTTTATTCAACCATGTTCTGGAGGCCTAGCCAGTGCAGTAAAGCAGAAAAAGAAAAAAAAATGCATACCATTGGAAAGGAAGAAGTAAAACCTTGTTTATTCACAAATGGCGTGACTGCCTAGGCAGAAAATCCTAAGGAATCTATTAAAATACTGGAATACATGATGTATTAATAATAGCAAGGTTGCCAGACACAAAGTCAACATAAAAAAAACCAACGCTAGATTTTTATATTAGAAATGAACAATTAGAAACTCAAATTAAAAGTAAAATTAATACCATTTACAATAGCATAATAAATATAAAATAATTAGGGATTAAGAAAATATGAGTAAGACTCGTACTCTGAAAACTTTATAAAACACTGTTGAGAAAAATTGAGGCAGACAAATACAGAGATGCCATATTTACAGATCACAAGATTCAATACAGTTAATTGTCCTCAAATTGATCACTACATGATTTCAAGACTTACTATAAAAGCTGCACTAATCAAACCAGTGTGATATTAAAAGACAGACACATAGATCAAAGGCAGAGAAGAGAGAAGCCACGAACAGACCTTCACAGATATGGCCTACTGATTTTGACAAAGATTCCAAGATATTTTAATGAGGAAAAAATAGTCTTATGAACAAATGATGCTATAACAACTGGATACTAAGATGTAAACAAACAAATAAAACTCCCCAAGATCTAAAATCTTACCTCAAACCTAGAAATGAACTCAGAATAGATTATGTATCTAAACGTTCAACCTAAAACTATAAAACTCCTAAAGACGACACAGGGCAACATTTTTATGGGACCTAGGGTTACACAAAGATTTCTTAGTAGTACTTTTAAAACATGAAAAAAACAGATAAATCTATGTCAACCTTAAAAACTTTGCTCCTCAAAAGCCATTGTTAGGAAAACAAAAAGGCAAACTAAAAAGTGAAGGAAAATATTTGTAAGACAATTATCTGCTAAGCACTCCTACCCGCAATATTTAAAAATAAAACAAAACAAACTCTTACAATGCAATAACAAAGCAGTATGATTTTTTTAGATGGGCAAAAGACTTGAATAAACATTTCATTTAAAGAGATAAATGAAAGGCAAATAAGCTCCCCCATACCAAAAAAAAAAAAAAAAAAAAAAAAAAAAAAAAAAAACGAAAATAAAAAAAAAAAAAAAAAAAAAGATCCCCAACATCATTAATCCACAGGAAAATGTACATTACAATCACAAGGACAAACCAACAGATATCCATTACAACAGTTAAAATTTGAGACTGATACTACCAAATGTTGGCAAAGATGTGAAACAACTAGAACACAGAAATGTTGCTGAAAGAATGCGAAATAGTATAGCTGCTTTGGGAAAGCACTTTAGCAGTTTCTTATAATGTCAAACATATACTTACATACAATATAGCATCCTATTCATTTACCGAAGAGGAATCAAAATCTACTGTCACACAAAGACTTGTACTGGAATTTTAAAAGCACTTTAGGCCGGGCGCGGTGGCTCAAGCCTGTAATCCCAGCACTTTGGGAGGCCGAGGCGGGTGGATCACAAGGTCAAGAGATCGAGACCATCCTGGTCAACACGGTGAAACCCCG